TGCTTTTATTTTACCCATGATTCAAAGCTATAATAATTGCCTTCAGGCCTCTCTCGGTGTTAAAAGGTAGACTGTAACAAGTAGTCAGAGATTTTTAAACCTGGTCAACAACTCAGATCAAAACAAATGGGTGCTACGTCCCACCACACTCCAGTAATTTTACCTTGCAGATGTTCCTAAAGCACCTTTCAAACTGGAAATGTCTTTGTTAGTCTTTCAATCACCAACATGGGTGAAATAAACTCTTAATTCACCAAGATTGAAAAAGCTGTAATGGCTGCAGCGTTCCTTGTGCTTCTCAAAGTGCGTCTACGAAAAGAGCTTTTTGCCATGTCAACATTATGTAAAGGATCCCTACAGATATATATATATCGATTGCCACCAGACTCCATAGACAAAAATGGCGATTTTAACCAAACACATCATTGTAACATCGTAATTTCCTTCAAAGTGGACAGAAACAAAAATAAAACTCAACAAAACTGTCTTTGCTAGTCTTTACTCTGTTCTAAAAACTATCACCAACTGGTTTGGTCGAAATAAATCCGTAATTCACTGATATCGATGAGAAAAACAGCCGTTTCAGTCGCTGCCCTCAAAGCCAACAGTTGCACAGTGACAGACTCACATGCAGTAACACGCACGCACGGTCAGACCAGAGTAAACAATGCATCATTCTCTGCTTCACTCCTCTATATAATTACATTGCAAATAGTGGTTTGCTGCAATATTAATGTTTTAAATATTGTGTATATAATCTTTTAAGTAGCAATATTTCAGAAAGATGTTAAAAGAATAGTTTGACAATTTGGAAAACGCTCTTATTCACTTTCTTGCCGAGAGTTAATAAGTTTTATTACCTTTGTCCAAAACACGACTATCATCAACTCTTAACACGTTATATCTCATTTGTTTAATCTGAACAGAAATCGAAGTGTAAAAATGACAATTGTGTGTGACAAAATGTTATTTTTATTGTGTGTTTTCCTGAAAATTGCGTGTTTTGTTTTCACAAAATAGGATTAATCAATGGTTCATTATCTCAGTTAGATGCATGAAAAATATCAGCTGTGTAAAAACTGGAAAAAGAAAGAAAAGTAATTTAATTAAAATATTAAGTAATTGTGTGTGTGTGTGTGTGTGTGTGTGTGTGTGTGTGTGTGTGTGTGTGTGTGTGTGTGTGTGGGCGCGCTACAGGTGCTGCTGGTTCCCGGAGGCGTCTTCATGATCAACAGTAGTGATCCCTGTCCGTACGTCAGAGCGGCCTTTTCTCTCTCCACACCAGAGCAGATTGATGAGGTACACACACACACACACACACACACACACACACACACACACACACACACACTCCTTAACTGACTCTAATCTCTCACAAATCTTTTCGACAGGCTTTCAGAAGACTCTCCTCTCTCATCAAAGAGGCTTTGTGATCAAAGATTTGTCTTTCCCTGGAAGATGCTGTATTTTTTTAAATGTACTGTTGAAGGCGCTTTTGTGTTCAAATATATGATTATGTTTGAATATATTTTAATATTGTGTAACCTCTGACTATATCTACACCGTAGCTGAGAGGAGAAACAGAATGTCCGGTCAACATGACTTGGTGCTGCTCATTGGAAGCTATTAGGAGCGATGAATGGAAACAGTTGTAAACCTCATAGTTTGTTGCTCCGTCGTTGCACTACACAATGAAGATGTCATCAACTTTTCCACGCACAAAAAAAAACAGTAAACTTTTCTATCACTCCGTGTTTTGTCTTTTGTGTCTGTATGTTGTGATAAAATACTTCCAGTGAGAAGACGTTAGCTACAGCTTACAACACAGTCTGGCTGGTGCATGGACTTAAGCCATAAAATGTTTAATTTGCCCTATGGCAGTATGGTGAGACTCAATAGGCATGTTTTTGGAAAGGTGTAATTTAAAAAATGTGGTACAAAGGATGATCAACAGTCCTCCTAATTATAATGTACTCTGCCTGCACTTGACTGGACAAATTCATCTCCTAGCTGGGATGTTTTTATCACCTCTAAAGGGGCGAAACACACTCTGCACAAAACTTCTCTGTGGGTTTAACCATAGCAGACACGGAAGCCACAAGTCGACACACATCAGTTTCGCAATCAGCGTGTTCTTAAAGAGACAACTGTTGCAACTTAACACCGTTTCCTCATCGTGTGTGCCTTTTTTAAAGGAGGTGAAATTGTGCCAGAGACTAACTCTACTTCTGTTATTGCTTATAATTATGTAATTGTATAGCAAGTGATGCTGTATCTGGAAATATAACCTTTTTTAAATATCATTTAAAGGTCTAGTGTGTAACATTTAGGCTCTATTAGCAGAAATGGAACATAATATTCATATCATATGTTTTCATTAGTGTATAATCACCTGAAAATAAGAATTGTTGTGTTTTTGTTACCTTAGAATGAGACATTTTTATCTACAGGCGCCACAAGGTGTGAAGGCCACCATGTTTCTACAGTAGCCCAGAAGGGACAAATCAAACACTGGCTCTACACGAGGCTCTTTCGCAGCCACCGTAGTTGTCAATGTCGGTGTCAAAATACATTTGACGGAGGAAATGGGTCGTGCATCTGAAGACGTATCTTCATTTAATGCAGACGTTTTGTTAACAAGTCACATCTAAACCAACCCCTTGTGTTTAAGATTTAGGATAACTGAGATAATTAAGATACTGTTTGTCTGTTTTATTGCTAAAAGGAGACTGAATGAGAACATATTGGTGGTTTTATAAAGTACTATTTGCAGCATATAAGTCAAAAACTGCACCAAATCAAAACATTTAAACTCAACATTTACTTTACAGTCTGACTTATGATTGAAGTAAACATTCAGCTGGTGTAAGTAGAGTTCAAATAAAGGCTTTTTTTTCTCCACATAACATTACCTGCTGACAGGCAACAAGGTCCGTCTGTTGGTGGAGGCTGTTTTCTTTCCCTTTGTACAGACTTTCTCCCTGCTGTGTTAATATGTAGCACTTTGTGTGAACAAGTTCTCAGAGGTGTTTGTACTGAAACATTCATCCATAAAGGATAACGGGGTCAGAGGAGACGGCTTAAAAATCAACAAGCAACACTGATTTACTGAGAAAGGAGGTATTAAAAGTGTAAGAGACGTGCGCAAACACTCAAGAGTGAGCCTTTTAAGAGTGTTAAACTACGGAGTTATAAATGTGTACGCAGTATTAGAGCAGGTCCACAGTCTACAGTAACTACTTGGGCAGTTATTAGCTTATCATATGTTTGCATGTAAAACTTTAACAGGAAAATAACTAGTTACTGCTGCTGGAGAACAGAGTAAAAGTACCAAACATCCCTCTAAATATGATCAAATTTAGTGCAGAATAAACAAAACTAAAGTCTCATAAAAAGACAGAATAAGAACCTCTAAACTGCACTTTCCCCTTTTAGGAACAGATAATATAAACTATCCGACAGTCCCTTAAATAAACGTGGTTTCTATACAGAGATGGAGCATTATTGAGCTAGTTATTGACTGTTTGTACAGAGTGTCGATTTCAGAGGTTCAAGGTCAGTCAGTTATCAACTCTGGCACACAGACAAACGGCACGCACTGCCCGGATAACCCTGATTCGGTCGTTATTTAGAGGTGAGTTTCTTGTTTCCTCCTGTTTCTTACGCCCTTTGATCATTTTCTGTCTTTTCATAGACCAACCTTATAGCTTTAATTGATCATAAAGAGGGGGGGGTGTGTTTTCCCCACAGTTCACTTACAATTCCAGTTGCAGCAGGCAGGGAACTTCTAACTTGGATTTCTTATTTTTTGGTTGCGCACATGTCTTCCATCAACTAATCCAGTAGCAGCAAAAAAAAGCTCTGGTATACAGACTGTACAGTACCGGTCCAGCACCACATGGCAAACTGGACACATTTGGGGCTTTTTTAAGGGTTGTTGGGGCCTAAAATGCCTGATTTAATGCCAGCTTTTCTAAATAAAATTGCGATGCATGCTGTAACGTTTTCAGGCATTTTTTCCCAAAGAAATTGTGGGAGAAAGTGGAAACAAAAGTGGAATTAAGTCGCTGGTAGTTTGGTGACGTATGGCTGCTATGATCTGTGAAACTTCCGGGAAACTACGATGATTGGACAAAATTACAAGGTATTTCCGGCAATCGCAACATCAAAGCTTCCTGGAGGGAGTGAATGGAGCATTTATGGCAGGTAAAAAGCCTCGAAAAGTGGGTACACAATCAATATATCCCCCATATTTACTTAACTTCTGCTGATTGACCTCAGGCAGTAAGAATCATTATGAAATGAACATTCGCCACAGAAGAGGTGCCGATTTTGCAATCAATACTGGCTTACAGATGGGTAAGAAAATGACCTAATTACGCATTTAGATTTAAGTATTTCTGGTTCCTAACTCTATCCGCTCATGAAAATTGGACAACTATATCATGCCTTTATCAGCTCCCTTATCAGTGGTTCCCAACTTGGGAGGTCGCCAAAACTTCAATGTGTGCTAGAAAACTTAAAATATATACAAAGTTGGGCTATATGTCAACATTTAGTTCAGTTCTGTGAAGGAAAAGTAAATATAAATTGCCTAATAGAACAATGGCCAAGCGCCAGAGACAAGAAAACACTGATTTGTTAAAAAAAAAGCCTCTTAAGTCTGTATGAATGTAAAAAAAAAAAAGATAATAAAAATGCATAATACAGACATAAAATAATCTGCTAATGAACGCCAACTAGCCTCTGCTCGCTGTGTAAACAACATATTCATCATATTTATGTTTACAGCTTGTTCTGCTGCCCCCTTGTGGCCATAAAATCAACGACTGCAGCTTTAAACCTCGGTGAGGAAATAACTTGTTGGTATATTATTAATAAAACATTTTTATTTACAGCAGTTTTAATATTATAAACCATTCTCTCATTCTTGGCTCTCTCAATAAAATAAAATAAAATAAAATAAAATAAAAATAAAAGTGGGTGACGTTGCCACCCCCAGTCCATCCTGAAGTAACACACAAACTGGCTGTTGGTGACATAGCGGACGGTAGGAGGAGGATGGAGATGCCGGAGAAATAGCTGACGGAAAAAAAAGGAAAAAAAAAAAGAAACACCGACCCCCGGTGCTTCCTCACCACTCGTTAACAAGCGACAGACCATGATGTGAGTATGAAATGTGAGATTCGTCGAGCTGGCGAGGACAAAATTTGACATTTTCTCGGTTTTAGTCAACGTTTTTTAGCCGCTGACGTCGACGTGAGTTAGCCGTTTGTCGGACCGCAGGGCTCGCGCTGCTGAGGAGGTAACGTCTCTCGGTTTAACGTTAAAAATAATAAAATAAAATATATATATATATCGTAACGTATTATCTAACGTTTCATCCGCGCTTATACACATACACGGTTATTTAACGTTAATAATGATTTGCCAGCTGTACGCGTTAAACGAGCTGCCGTTACAGCCGTTTGTTCAAACAGTCTGCACGATTTTCTAGAAGGGTCCCGTGATATATAAAACCGCCGCTCCAGCACATAGCCGGGTCCCACGCCCTGGTTTTGTGATGTCTTCGCGTTTTAGTCGGCACCAAAATGTAGTTGATTTAATTAATATACACAGTTAGTCGTTCACATCGTTGCGGCTTTGACCCTCTGGAGGTAGATAACGATGTCATTGTCAAGGGGGGGTGGCTATGTTTTGTAAGGAAGCGAACGAGAAAATAGACGGCACCCACGCCGGGCGCCGTTATGTTGTAGTGTGGCTTTGTTTTCATACTAATAAAGCCGATAGGCCGGGTTGGGAGGGGGTTACTTTACAGATGTAATCCATTACAGTCTATCATTACCCGTTAAAATATGTAGTCAGTGAGCTAATTCAGGTATCACGTTATTAAAGTAACGTAACTTGAGTACGTTCCGTTACTTTTGGATTATAATTTCAACACGAAAATATGCAAATAACAATAAGACAAACTGTATTTTAAAATTGTAATCCTGTTAAATAATCCCCTGTTTTTACTAAATGTAACTGTAATCTTTATTACTAATGGATTACAGTTACCTTCTTTTTGTATTCTGATTAACTCAACCCCAGCCAATAGGTGTTGTAATAACAGAGGAGAAAGCGACTAAAAGTAACCTTACAAATGATCTCTTTCAGTGCTATTTACAAGTTATTTATACCTATATTTTCTATTATTTTAATACGATTAGCTAGAGTTGACTTGTAGAAACCCCTGACTAAATGCTGATGTTTTTAATGTAGGCTAACTATGCATGAATATGGTCGGCATGTTAGTAACTAGTAGCTTCAGGTGTTTGTGAGGTTGCAGCCATAACCTTTTTTTTTATTAATTTGGAAGAGGAAAAAAAAGCTTATTATGGCAGTATTCGTTTGAAGGTTATACTATTAGTCAACAGAAAATAAATCTGCTACTATCTTGACTATTGATCGTCATTTTTCAAGCTGGTTCTAGCTTTTTTACAGTTAATGGGAGGATTTACTGCTTCTGTTTTTATATCATTGTAAATTAAATACAAGCAATTTAAAGACTTGAGTAGTTTTTTCACTACTTTCTGATGGTTTCATGGGCCAAATGATTAATTAATAATGAAAACAGCCATTAGTTGGTTATAAAAGTGGTCTTATCAGTTTATTCCCGCTGTTGAGCAGGCACATGTTGTTTTGTCCTCTACTGTCTCTGGTTAATACGTGTCACTTTCTGCTTGTTCCAGTGAGATGCTTCAAGCCACAGAGCTGAATACCAAATTGCCTTCTACTATCCAGAGATAGCCAGTCTTGCTGAATGGAGACCCAGGAGGAATGACAGAGTCTCTTCCCCCTCGGGTGACGCACCGACAGTCTGAGAAAATGCACTGGGCCGCTGGATACGTGTTTCTGGTCCTGGCATCCCTTATCACCTCTCACACCGCCGAGGCCTTATCGGTGGACACGGATGGAAACCGCACGGAAAACGCCACTGTGACAGACGGCGGATTTGTCCCAGTTGTGTTCACCAAAGTGAACCAGATAATTGCCCGGGAGGGTAGCTGCGCGCTGATTGATTGCAATGTCACCGGAGACCCGTTCCCCAGCGTTCAGTGGTTCAACTCCCATGGAGACCGCCTGGACACGGAGACGAATGGTGAGACAGGTTGTACTGTTACTTTAAACCTGGTTTCCTGTTCTCTTTGTCACCAGCACTGCACGTCACTCACTTATTATTAAATTAGCAGCAAAGGCTGGTTGTTGGGTCCGTTATTTACTATAAATGAAGCTTCTGGAAGTTGACAATTAATAATAATAATTTGTTTCTTAATTGGAGCAAGTACTTACACACACACTCACACATATTAAATATATTTAAATATATGACATTTTGTGTGTGAAACAGCAACTGGGCTCTTTTCCTGTGAATGTTATTGTTTGTTTAGATAAGTGTATTAATGTTTTATCATGTTAGTGGAGGCAGTGAGGTTCAGTTAAGGTGTCTCTGCTGTAAAACACTGAGGGAAAACTCTGCACTATAACCCAGTTACTGTGATCAGGTCAAAGATTCACTTCCTGATGTTGTTGTTGCCCAAGAGTGAGTTACTTTTTTGATGTCATTGTTCTTACCGGAGTACCTGATATACAATACAAAGATATTATACACAGGATACTAACACCACAGCACAGATAGAGAAAGAAATAGTAGACAGTTTACAGTTGTCAGGATGTTTTGATCCAAGCAAACGTGAAATGTTTTTCTGGGTTGCTTACATGCTTTGACACCGGCCAATAGGACAATGGTGTGTCCTGATGCTTTGATGCTCAAAACAACAGTCGCAGGTGTTTTAATGCACATCATACAGCTTTAACAGTATACTGTTAAAGTGTCGTCTGTCTCTTTTAGGACATAAATGTTAAAGCTACATCTCCTGAGAAGTAAAAAAAGGGAAGAGCGAAAAGACAAGACAGGAACTGAAGACCTTGTGGGCATTGTTGATTTTAGTCCTGGTTTCAGTCTGATACGCTGCAGACGTTTCTCGTTTTAATCTTTTAATCAGAGTGTAACCTGACTTCTGAACACGAGGACGAGGCGGCCTTGAGTTCCTGAGGGAAATCTGGCTCAATAATTGCACATTTTGTCTGGCAGCAGTTAATCTTTTTTTTTTTTAATGGCAACCACTTGCCAAATTAGATTCAGGAAACCATTTAGGAAGTAATTTTTACTAATAATTTTCATTCACGCCGTCTACGTGTGAATGTTGAGATTCAGCTGAGAAGGAATGCAGTCGGTTCGACCTGTTGAAACCTGCCATCAGTGCGTAGAGGCAACAGTGTTATTATGACCCACAAACCCAGAGCAGTGTCTGTACCATCACAGAGCTTTTCCCCCTGGGATACACACAGGACTATAATTAGGTAAAGGTTATACTTTCCCCACAGCGGGCAGCAGTTCACTCAGTAACAAACAGTGGCTACTTACAGAGCCGTGTTACCGTCCCGCCCCTCGCCGGTCTCTTTCTGTTTATTACTCTTCAAACTTCGATAGTACCGGGCAGCACATCAGTCGTATCATATGATCCGGTGGTGGAGGTAAAATTAGAAAATCTTGCTCTTGCATGAAAAGGCGGATGGGAGGGACGCTGTTGTCGGCCAAGCTACATTTCCTGACCGGCCATTCATCTCCTCCAGAGGATACCAGTGTGGGGGATTGATCTAGCAGTGTAGAAGGAGGCAGAAATGTTTTCATGGTCTCTCCCTTCAGACTATAGATTTAGAGCTGTCCATCTTTACTCCCACACAGCAGAGACAGCCAGTAGTTGACGAGTCGGTGCAGATAAATTCGGTAAAAGTTTGCTTCCTGTGTATGATTCGCCATTGAAGGACAAGTTCAGCACAAAGCACAAACCTTGGAGTACTAGTAACAGTTTCCACCAGGAGCTGTTTACAACCAAGGCTAAAAGATACTCATAACTGTTCACACTGTGGAAAGACACATTGCTGTAGGAGGTTTGAAAAAGTAGTTTCATCCACCTACACAGTAGTGGAGGCAGATAAAACTGCAATCTTAATTTACTGAAGGGAATTATGGATGTCTGTTATATATTAAGATACCACTAGCACACCGTTAGCTTAGCATAAAGACTGAAAACTGTCTGAAGGTAACACACACACACACACACACACACACACACACACACACACCAACACCTCCAAAGTTGAGTAATTAAAGCAACAGAACTGGTATTTCTTTTGTGATTTGGGGTGCAGTTCACTTATACGCCACTAAATAAGGACAGCTGTACACATGCATTTGTTATGAGTACCTACGTTACATCATCAGGATGGAGGTGAGCTAACACAGCCAAACATCAAGCAAGTGCAACAATAAAAGAGGTAGTGAGCCAGCTAATATTATTTACTGCAGAGAGAAGGCCAGCTCGGTGTCTGTCTGCAGCTTTTATTTCACAAAACTCTCGCCAACATCTAAAAGCCAGTCCTAGATTTACTCTTTTCCTCCGCAAGCTTCTTTCTCTCTGCAAGGTACGTGGTCCCAGCCAAGAAACGGTCCGGCTCCTCGTAAAAAAACGACAGATTGTAGTTTCTACACTTTGGTGTTTGTACGGATTAAACAAAACGAGATATTACACGTTACTCAGTGAGCTTGAGAGGTCTTGGTTGATGAGAGCCAGACGTCCCCTGTTTCCAGTCTTGGTGCTAAGCTAATCTAACCAGCTGCTGGCCTCGGCTTTATATTTAACAGACAGACATGAGATCAATCTTCTTATCTTAACACTCCACCAGAGAGCAAATAAGTGTATTTCTCAAAATGTCAAACTATTCCTTTGACCCGCAGAAAGGCCGTCACATCAACCATGTACCAGCTACCTCATCACCTTGATCAGACCTAATAAACCTAACAAATAATGATCAGCAATCATATATACACACATAAACTGTACGCATGCTTGGAGTTTATTGATTAAACGTTCAACTCTAAAGCACTTAGCATTTATTTATTTATTTATACATCTTAATCTATTTTGTATTCGTACATCCGACCCTATTTAATTTGATATATCCATTTCTTACTCTTTCTAATTCTGCCTCCAGTGTTTCCTCAGTTTGTTTTTAATTTAGTTTTTTTATGGTTCACAAAAACACTAATTACTTGACTTTATGTGTGTGTTTCTCAACCAAAGAAAGTAAAATGTAGGAATTCCTGTAGGTGCCTGAGCTCTTGAACACCCACGTAACCAGTGCCAATAATATAAACTCTTTTCAATCTTTGTGTTAATGCCTGTTTAACTCGTCCACTCCAACATGTAAATAGATAGTTCTTGTTTTGATTACTCAAACCTCGGCACACAGAGCGCCACAGAGTCACGCCACCTGTTTAAATATTAAAGGCAGGCAGGAGTAATAAGGTCACTGCTCCTCTTCCTGAGGACAAAGCGTGATCCTGATATATCTGCTATCTATACCTCATATCATACACTAACATGGCACAAAGGTTAAAATAAGCACAGATGGAGGGTCGGACGTGAGGTCACAGTGTACTCTGCTGCATTAAACAAATTGCTGCTGGGATTAAAGGCACATGTTTTTTTTTTTTTATTGATTTATAAATATGTGTACCAAAACAGTGTGTTCTCTTGAGCCGTCAGACTCCATTAAAAACAGAGAGAACAGCACAGAAGTACAACGTAAGCAAGTTCCTTTTAGAAAGCAGCAAAACATCAGCTGCAACAACACTGCAGGGGAGAGTTTACTGTTTGTTCCCACAGAAGAGAAACAGATGCATTAGGAGGATTTTCAGGGTTTAAACTTCGACCTCAGAGCGAGTTAGTAGGTTAGTTGTGTATAATCTAAAGTCTTTAAAAGCAGGTCAGTAAAGTCAATTTTATTTGACCACATTGTGTACCGCAAGTGATGGATTAAACCTTTCGAACTGCAGCTGCTTATCATCTGCTGTTAAACTATGGTTCATTACAACCTTTTATTTATATAATAGCTTTAGAGATCAGTTGTTTAGTTAGTTCCAGGTTGTAATAAAACTTAGTTTTCCTTTAATAATGGCCAGTTGCTCTTACTCAGCATTTGCCACATTCATGACCTTTCTCTCCGTCTTTTTCCGTAGGTGGAAAGTGGTGGCTGCTGGACGCTGGTGTCCTCAACATCACCAGCATCGAGTTTGCCGACCGCGGCAAGTACACCTGCATGGCGTCCAACGTGCACGGCAACTCCAACTGCACGGTGACACTGCGCGTGGTCTTCACTAACGGCGACATGGGCGTGTACTACATGGTGGTGTGTCTGGTCACCTTCACCATCATCATGGCCCTGAACATCACACGCCTCTGCATGATGAGCAGCCACCTGAAGAAGACGGAGAAAGCCATCAACGAATTCTTCCGCACCGAGGGCGCCGAGAAGCTGCAGAAGGCCTTCGAGATCGCCAAGCGAATCCCCATCATCACCTCGGCCAAGACGCTGGAGCTGGCCAAGGTGACGCAGTTCAAGACCATGGAGTTTGCGCGGTACATCGAGGAGCTGGCTCGCAGCATCCCGCTACCACCGCTCATCATGAACTGCCGCACTTTCATGGAGGAGATCCTGGAGGTGGTCGGGGTGGAGGAGATGAGGCACACCTTCCTCAGACAGGGACCCGAGGGATGCCGCACTGGAGCGAGCAGGGCCATCGGGGCGAGAGACGTCTTCACCATCCTGCAGGAGAGGGAGAGCGAGCAAGACGGGGAGAGGGAGCGCAGCGAATCCCCCGCCGCCGACTCCGACAACTCCTCAGTTCACGAGCAGCCGCAGCACATCGCCATCCAGGTGTCGGTCCACCCGCAGCTCGCCATCGGCGGTTACTGCAGCATTGATGCTCCGCCTCAACCAGAGGCCGCACCCTCCTCGCCTCCTCCCCCTTCCTCGCCTCCTCCTCCCTGCTCGACACCTCCCCCCTCCTCGACTCCTCCCCCCTCTTCCTCCCCACCGCCGACTCCTCTTCACCACGAAGAGCAGCCCGAGCCTGAGGCGGAGGCAGAGGAGGACATCAACCAGGCTGTGCCCGAACCGACAGATGCAAATAATACCCCGCCCTGCCAGGTGTTCTACGAGAGCCATGTGTGACGAAACAAACAAACCCTGGAGGAACGACGAGTTATCCTGCTATGCATTTCCACTTGAAGACAAACAAAAAAAAAGGTCAAAACATTTTTAATTTCACATTTTAGAAAGAAACAATCACATTTTTTTAAAGTCTTTCTGAACGGAACAATCTGGAAACATACGTCGGCTGTTCTGTTGAGAATAAATCATAAGGTTTTTAGATACTTGAGCGTTTCTTTCTCACTCTGGACTTCATGCTTGAATGTACACAGGAGGGGTTGTTCGATATTATTGTTAATGTAACAAGCAGCGAATTGTAAAGGGACGTTTCCTGTGGTGTTAATTTTAATAGCTAGGACTATTATTTAAAGAATTAGGGTACTTCCCTTCCTGGGGGGGTAATCATTTTTGAGTTTTTAGTTTCTTACAGTGCTAGGGTTTATATGACTAATTCAAGAAATCTGCCTCAAGCTGCTCTTCAGGCCGGTTTTAAAAAAAAAACCCACGAAAGCTAAGCTTCCTTCATCCGCTCAAGAATTCACATCCAGCTGCTGTTTAAAGCTGATCCGCTGTTATTGTACAATGTTCCGCTCACCTAGAGATGCATGCTGGACTGAAAAAAGATTGGTAGTGGCAGAGTGTGGTCACCATTTCATGATTGTACGGCCTACTGTATTTCTACAAAAACCAACAAAAAAAACAACAACAAAAAAACAAATAAGTAAGCCAGGTGAATATTTGTGTGTACAGTATATTTCCTGATTGGGTCACACACCTCTGGGTAGAGTTTTTGTCTGTTTCCTTTGAAATATTTTAACGAGTATTATTATTATTATTATTATTATTACCCATTGTGGTGTGATTTTATTTCCCAGCTAGTTTAAGCTAGTTTTTAAATAAGTCTTTTTTTTGTCTTCTTCCTCCTCAGTAGAGAAGAGTAGCTTCTTTTCCTCCGCCATGTGCTGTCTTAGGTTTTATTTTTTGGTTTTTAATTCCTGACCTGATCTCAGCATCGTGTTGCTTTTGCAGAGGCTTTACAGTACAGTTGCATTTCTGCTGCATGTGAAAGAGGACAGTAGAGATGTTTGACGTCTCTCTCTGGGACTAAAAAAGGACTCTTCTTTCTTCCTTTTGCTTGGCTAATGGTCCAGTCTGTGGCGGAGATGAACTGGATGCTGTTCTTCTTTTACCGGTGCTCTTGAGATGCCTCTTCTTTCTTTTTTTTTTTTTTTTGTAGTGGAATAAAATTGGAAGTGCTGTGTAAAAGTTTGGTCAGTCTCACAAACACACAACTTTTTAAAATGTATTTTTGTAGTTAGCTGTAGTAGTAGACCCTTAGTTAATGTCTCCTCCTCCTTTGTGTTTTATTTGAGGTGAATTTAACTACTTTAACTATTAATCGTCTCTTTTTACCATCAGTGAAAATATTACCCACAAACAGTATATCGTGTTACTCCAGCGCCACACAGTCGGGGTTTGATTCACTATGAAAGACACTAAACATTTAAACTCTATTGAGTTGGAGTGAGTCTGAGCAGCTGAACTACATTTGTATGTGATGTCTTTTTAAATCAGGTTATCAAAGGGGAGAGAGACTTGAGGCAGACAAAACAAATAAGCATACTTTGACATTAAGTGTGACTTACAGTTAGAAGTATATAATTGTCCCTGATGTACGTCCTTAACAGTTCTTAGAAACTAGAATAAAGTGTCCTTACAGCTCCAGATTCACTGCAAACAGCAACTGCTAATCTAATCTGGCAAACTCTTAACGGGACCAATTTTGCCAAAATGTAACGTAATACGTCCTCCATTCAATTCTCAAACCTTTTAAACCCGTGTAGTGTTTTTTGTGAGGATCGTTAATAATGTAAGCTAGACTCTCTTTTGTCAGGGTGGCGGTAGCCATGGTTACAAGCTCATCTCCTCTGATGAGACACGGCGGTGAAGGAGGAAATGAACCCGCTGACTTCAAGGTCAGTGGGAGAAAATACAGTTAAATGGACAGACTATGTATTCTCTTAATGTGTAGGTGAAACAGTGTCTGCTTAAAGGACCCAGTGTGTAGGATGCAGATGGCAACCAACTGAATACCACTCGCAAAAGTCCCTCTGTAAAGCCGGTGTTTGGTTTGTCCAGTATTTCCAGGCAATTATTCATATTATATTCAATTTCCGCCAAAACATCCAATAGATATTGAAGTAACTGAGTAAACGTACTTGGTTTAGTAATTTGGTGTATAAATCTTATTTGTTTTTCTCGCTTTACTGAAGCAAGCGAGCGAAGAAAAAGCAGAAAAGGTCTCAGGTTGGTGCCTGACGGAGCCATGAATAATAGATGTGTTCTGTAACGGGACACTAGGACGAGACGAGGAGCGGTCCAACTCTTCCAGCCGCTGTCATTGTCTCTCTGAGCTGCTCTCAAACTCTGAAAACTAGTGGAACTTCTTTTCACAAAGGCCGCTCTGTGTTTATGAAGAGCAGACCAATTCTCCCCCCATCACCTCCCTCTGAGCTAAAACTTCTCCTGATCCAACCCCCTCGGTGCCAACAGTAAAGCCACTGTCACACTAATGAGGATGCAGACAGACACTACTGTTGAACAGAACCACAAAATATCCCGTTAAATGTCTTTCAGTCAGTGTCAGAGGTAGAAAAGTCTCCATGGATACAGTTTTTCATCAGTTTTCTGTTTTACATTTGTATCTACCCTCTCAGACTTTAAGAAGCTCCCCTCAGAAGACACTATATGACTGTTTTTACAGGCTGAGAACTAAAGTAAGTGAACTTTATCCGCTGATGAAGGCCGTATAATAGAGTCTAAAGTTCAAGAACAAGCGAGGAAACTTGAGTTTTAATTGGTTAAAACATTTTTATAGTCCTTTCAGAATTCGGTGGGCTTTCTGTGGGGGATTGTTGCAGCTTTAAATCCAAGAATTTCCCCTTTCTTTAAAAAAAAAAAATTGCAAAGCAGATTGTGATACTTTTAGACATTTTGTTTTGCAATTAAATTGTGGGAGAAAGTGAAAATTGCATCACTTGTAGTTTGGTGACATATGGCTCGACGTACCAGAGACAGAGAAACCTGTGGAAACCAAGATGACTGGTTCAATTTGTGGTGATTCATCCCTGTCCTCAACAGTTTCTGGTACATGTAAACGCTTCACAGACTGTAAACAGACGTTAACTTCAGGGATTTAGTGACGTTTTCACACATTTACAGGGGAAGAGAGTTTTCATGCAGTGTTCGAGCAGAATTCACAGGGTTTGTGTGAATTTGTGTTGTTGTGATCGCAGCTTCCTGGACGACCTGTTAAAGTAAGTCATAAAATAATTTTTGGTTGAAGAAGTCCGAATAAACAAGACAAATAAACACTGAGACATCCTCCCTGTGCAACTTGAATATTTTTGTCCTTTTTAATTTAAAACAAAATTTAATCTTTTACATATTTTTGTTTTAAATGTACAATCAAACAATCAATGTAATCATACGTAAAATTCTTCATAATAATGCACAACTCTATCGACACTACCCATAAATTAAAAAAAAACAAAAAACAAAACAAAAAATAGGGGAAAAAAACATCGAGATCAGTATGAAATACAATGTTAGGCAACACCACTGGTTAACAAAGACGATGCCCTGCTGCCCGTCGGCCTGCAGCAGGAACAGTCACTGCAACAGAAACAAGTACACAGGATGAACCCGACCTTTCTCTCTCTCTCACTCACACACACACACACACACACACACACACACACACACACACACACACACACACACACACACACACACACACACACACACTCAACAGGTAAAGGTGCTACTGTTTGTCCCCACTTCACCATCACTTCATTTCCCTTCATCGTGTGCACTTAAAAAGATCTCAACACGTTTTTTGTTCTGAGGACAACGAGGGGAAAGGTTAGTGGGAGTAGCAGGTGTTTCTATTTTTTTTTGTGGATTTGGAATAAAATACAGGCGTGAAAAGCCTAAAAAACCTTTGCCAGGCACTTGGCAGATGTAGCGAGACTCGATCTCGTGTTATTCTTACGAGGGGTCATGAGATGACTGACTGATGTGACAGAAGAATAACTGGAAATAAACAATATAATTAACAAATTTGGAGCTTTAGAGTTCCTTCTTGACCTCAGAAACAGTAAATTAAGGTCCATTTACTACGGTTTAAAAGTCGATGTAACAGTGAAAGAGATTATTTTATCAACTATATTCTTTGTTTGCAGTTATTTTTTAAGTACTAAATAGTTTTATTAGGAACAAATATGAAATTTTAACCATTCTCAACTCATCTGTGACCCCTGATGAGGGGTCCAAAGTAGCCGTTGTAGGGGTCACGAGCTAATATTATGATGGATCTTTAGTCTATCCAGTATTTAAGCTTTTAGAGCTAAAATGATTAATAATTTATTACTAAAAAGACATTGGCTGGTTCCAGCTTGTAAAATGTGAAGATTTATAACTTTATTCTGGTCTATAGTGTTATGAGTTAAAATAGAGCCCGAGCTGATACCATAAACCAATATTGTATCGATATATCCCAAATGTGTCGATATTAAAACTGATTTTTTCCTGTATAAAACGCAAAAGGCTCAGTACAGTTTAGCTGTTTATTTTATTTTTATTTACTCAGTGTTCATTTCTAGAATTGGTCGACAATGTTTATGTTAAAGTGTTTAAATATATATATTAAATAATAAATCAAACACTATCAACTGTCGGCAAACACTTTAATTAAAGTACCAGATAGATAGAGTGGAAAATGAGGCTTTTGTTGTGTAAATTAGATGGATGGAGTTCTAGTATTAGTTAGTTAGTAGTATCAATTGGGGCCAACCTTTATTCTGAAAAGTTATATGAGAAAAAAAACAAAACAGAACTTCCTGTTTGAAAATACAAGAAGTTATTTCCCAAAGACGTGGACAGATTTCACGTCATTGTTACATCAGCGCCATCCTTCTCTAACTTTAACCGATCACTTAAAACAGGGCAGGCTCACAGTTTTGTTTTTCAAGCCGTAAAAATAAAATTAATTGATTACAGCCGAGATCAATAGTCTAAAAGTAGAAGCAAGACTCATTTATCCTGTAATAGAGAACGCAGAACTCAACCTGGATGCTTTTTTCTTTTACGTACACACTCGACCTGCCTTCACACTGAATGACGGGACACACACGCACCCACACACACACCCACACACACACACCCACACACACACACACACACACACACACACACACACACCAAAGCTCAAGCTGGCTCAGAAATGAAAACACACTCACGAAAGGTCTTACTTTTTTTTCCTTCTGAACGGGAACAATTTTTGCTCTTGAAATACAGTACCCATCTGTGTCTCTCTACCTCCATCTCTCTCTTCCACACACACACACACACACACACACACACACACACACACACACACACACACACACACACACACATCTCATTCAGACCAACGTGAACCCAGGTGTGTAGCCGTGTGCCATGCGGTCATGAGCTGCTGATTGCCGCCACCGCCACGTTTTCATGGTGAGGAGCAGATGCACGTCCTCTTAGTTCCCATGGTAACCTGGCTGGAATGTAGTGACGCTAGGGAGACACACACACACACACACACACACACACACACTCACACACACTTAATTCACAGGTAAACAATGCATATCTCAGGAGGACGGACAGGTCTGGTGTGTGTGTGTGTGTGTGTGTGTGTGTGTGTGTGTGTGTGTGTGGTAGAGAGGAAAGTGAGTTTATTTCAGCAGAAGCCCGGAGATTTAAAGGTCCCTCATCGCGTCCATCATCAGCGGTTCATTCTGACCTTTGAACCCCCCCCCCACCTGCCAGGCGACCTCAGCAGAGACAGGACAAAAGGTGAGGCACGTGACGAGTGCAAACAGGGGTTTAGGATAGGGAGTCTTATGTATGTGTGTGTGTGTGAGAGAGAGAGAGAGAGCGAGAGCATGCATGTTTGAAGTGTCTGCGAGTGCAAAAGTGTGTTTTAGTGACATTGTGTGTGTGTGTGTGTGTGTGTGTGTGTGTGTGTGTGTGTGTGTGTGTGTGTGTGTGTGTGTAAAAAGTGCATTCCTCATGTGTGTGCCTTCAACCCCCGTGACCTCCTCGTGTCCTCAGCAGCCAGAATGATAATAACAAGTCCTTTATCAAGTCTTTTTCCCTCTCGTGGCCGGTAAAAGTCTCTGGGGGCCACAGTCAGTCGGTGAGGTCTACAAAGCTGAAAACTAAAAAACAGAAACAAAAGCAGGGTCCAAATGTCAGAGATTGGAGCCGTCCAAGAGGTGCACCTCCTCCTCCTCCTCGCTGTCGTCTCCCCCTCCCCCCCGGCCGTCCTGGAAGGACCGGATCAGTTGAACATGATGGACTCGGGATCTTGGTCTGCCATTTGAGCCATGTGACGAAGGATATCTTTTTTTGTGATAATACCAAGAAGCCGCCTGCAGAGGGAGACAAAGGAGAGGGAGGGAAAAGGGGGGCGAGGAGGAGGAGAAGGAGGTTTAGAGAAGTGAGGAGGTGCTGGTGGGTTAGCAGCTGCAGTGAAGGAGAGAGAAAAACATTGTCATGTTTTTGTTGGCGAGGTTTTTGACGTCTTCAATCAGAAGGAGAAGAACGTGATTTAAACTGGATTCAAATTTTGGGGTTTATTGGGAGTCACAAAATCAATTTCTGAACATCGATTGGTGAGCCAACAAAAACACAAAGTCCCTGAGGGAGCAAAAGTCAGCAGGAGGAGAGGAAGGAGGTGAGGAACCAGAGGTGGGGGGGGGGGGGGGGAGAAAAGGGATGAGAGCAGGTCTGAAACAGCACCTCCTCTACCAGAGAGCAGCGTGTCGTTTCAGACGCCGCCTCAGCTGTTCTACGTGATCGGTCCAATAAAGCTGGTGAGAAGGAAAATCTGGATCCTACAAGGAAACAGGAAGTAGTGAACAGGAAGTGGAGTAAAAGTTACAACCTCTGAGGAGAGGAGGGGACGTCCTCGTCACAGGAGTCTTTTTATTTCTCCAGGATGTCCCACAATGGATTTTTTTAATGGGAAACACTATGTTTGTTGTGTCAGTGTTGTGATTGTCTGCCAGCAGTTTTATGATACACCTTTTAGATCTTGGTCATTGTTAACTATATATTTTACGTTAGCAGCAGTCAAAAAATTACATATTGTACGTTTATAAATGTCCCATTTCTAGATTATTAAAAAAAAAAAAAAAGAAGCTAACTTTTATGTAAAAGGCTTTCACATTGTCTCTAAATTTATTTAACAAGCTCTATTAATATAACTTAGTACATTAGTGTCTGAATTGTCTGTATAAATAAATAAATCTGCCTTTTATTGATAGGAGAACAGTAGTAGACTTTTAATACCAATCTACATCATAACAAGAGACATTTTGACTCTATAAATCCTTAAAATCTACTACAATAATGTGTAAAACATATGAGCTTGCATTAAAATAACAGTGGGATTAAGTCTGACAATATATCTGTAAATTATTTCTTCTTTGGGACTTTGCTTTTAAATGTAATTCCACAATTACATTAGTTTGAAACTCATGATAGTGTTCATAATATCACACACGGTGAAGAGTTTTAACCTTTTTTATGTTTATTACTCCTTTTATCTTTCTTTTTAAAGTTGCATTGCCTCTGTGTATGAAAGGTTTTATATAAATAAAGCTGTAGAAATACACCCTTTTACAGCGTATGACCAGTAGAGGCCGCTGTGACGGAGACAATCATCATTTCATGGTGCTGTGAGCAAATTCTGACTCTGTGACAGAGCTGCCTCCTCCTCCTCCTCATCCTCCTCCTCTTCTTCTCCCTCTTCTATAAAGCACATTTACCTGATCGACCCAACTAACAAGACTGTGGGTCTGACTTAGCGACAAGTTTCTAAATATTCAGTTATTGCTGCTGATTCAAGAGCACGTCACAGGCTGGGATCATTGTAGAAAAATTGCTTTGGATTCAGGAGCCGTTTAAACATTAGAAAATAACCACAAAGTGCTGATGCTTGTGCTCTTGAATCCAGCTGTGAATGTAGTCTGAGGTCAAGTGAAGAGAAGCATCTGAAGCCACACAGCTGAAGGAGAGCAGAGCCAGGTCCAAAAAAAAAAAAGCTCAGGTTTTGTTTTAATACTGTCAGACGTAATGTTGTTAAGACGTTCAGCTTCATTTGAACCCTGGAAAAGGTGAATAAAGGTGCAACCAGAACGAGTGAAAACAAACATTTGAACCCAGGTCTGAGTGAGAGGAGTTGAGATGACCTGTGAGGGAGGGCGGGTGGGGGGGCGTTAGAGCTACTGAGCAGCAGGAGGCATGAAACACTGGTGAGGCGTCACACTGATCAGACTCAGGTTTCCCAACAGCCGCTGAGGTCTACGACTCGTAGAGGTTTTGGGAATACCGGGTACAGATCAGAGTGTGTATGAGGGGTCAGCGGGTTGAAGGCAATGTTCTCTGTAAGCCAGCAGTGTCCAGAGCTGTGTCACTTTTTATTTTTTAATTAATGGTGAATAAACATTCATTCACAGGTAAAAAAAAAAAGCCCAAATTTAAGACATATTGAAGATAAATGTTTCTTTTAAATTATTTAAGAGCTAAGAGTCAATTTGTACTGCAGCTAAAGATTTCCTACATTTCCCAGAATGACTCAGCAACCATCAGAAAACAGGTGTAAATGGATTAATTCAGTATATATGTTGGTTTGTTTTGGCCTTTGGATCGAAGAATGTAATAGAAAAATAAAAAAATAGTTCCTCGACTTTATAACCGAAGTTATAAACTTTACAGTTGGTTATGTTTCTCAGATTTTACCTGTTTGTTTGTTTTTTAGCCAAATGCCTCTAAAAAGTTTGTTTTTTGTCTAATTCTCATATATTTTGTATGTGTTTTCTTTTCCAATCTCTTCGTTTTGTATTTGTTTAACCTCACCTGTCAGCTGCTTTACAGGCTGTTTCACCACACAGAGACATATCGACGATGATGATTTGTCTAAATTTAAACCTGTTTTAACATCTCGTGGGAATCAGCTGTCTTTAGCACATGTACTGTGCTCGTGTATTAACGTGCGACCTTGGCTTGTTGTGGAGCCCGACGAAGCACTCAGTGAAATGCGTTGCTCGTGCCACTATTAATATAAAAGATCTTTTATCATAATGTTAATGGGCTCATTTGTTCTCAAGACCACAAACAAGGTTTCCAGTTGAATATAAATCTGTTCAAAGAGCGTCTTTGTTCACTGAATGAGACTTTTTCCACCCATTTTCTTTTTTAAGAATATAACTGACACAACAGGACACAGCTGGCTGAGAGAAAAACATTGGCTGGTTAAAAGCACGGGATCAGTTATTGCTTCATCATTTGATCACCACACGCTGACTATCTATAGGCTACTACAGCACTACTAGCACCAATCAACACAACGTCACTCCAGCACAGCATTCACTACCACTAAAGAATGAGGGTGGGAATGAATCGTATCACTACAATATCCTCTCCCTCCCCCCTTCTACTAACAAATCTAAAGAATAAAAATATTAAAAACAACGGTGGTCCGCTTTCCCAAGGCGGCTAGCTACTCGCCAAGTGGTTGTTAAGGAGACGGGTCAGATGTCGTCAATCTGTGGAGCCCCGGGGGCGAAACAGGGTGGTCGAGAAGGGGGGAGGGGGGTTTACAAAAACAAAAACAAAAAAAGAAGAAAGCAGTCGTTAATGGAGAAAAATGAGGGTGGGTGTATTCTCAAGATGAAACCGACTACTGATGTGAGAGGAAGATGGGAAACATGCTGAGAAATGATATCTACTGATGGATTATATACAGCATAACATCAGAATGACACCAAAACACATCTAAAGCTGTGTAGTTACTATAAAGCAGAAAACGAGATGAACATCTTATTTAAAAAAAAAAAAGGTGATAGCATGATGCAGCTGACACAACACTAAGCAGAGCTACAAGTACAAATGCACTTCAATGGGGATGAGTGGCACAGCTGCACTCTGGGAAATCTACGGAGCCCTTTTCAGACACGGAAACAGTAACATCGCCGGCTTCATTTGATCTGCTGCTTCTTGACATTAGATTACGGGATCAAATAAGGGTGAACTCTGAGCTTGTGAAATGATGTTCATAAATAATTAGAAAGTCTGGTCGTATATATATATGTCTATATAATTTGTGGACAAATTAGATTAATGAGGTGAAGAGTATGAGGAAAAACATCTCAGTGCAGGTTTAAAAAAAAAGAAAACTGTGTGACAATGAAGTTAAAGTCTCCCTCCACTCCAAAATGCTGTTTTTTGTTGTTGTTTTTTTAAATTTTTTTGAGGCTTTTATTGCCTTTAATCAATAGTGACAGCTGGAGAGTGACAGGAAAGGAGGGAGAGAGTGAGGATGACACACAGACGCCCCCCCCCCAAAAAAAAAGCATTTAGCTTATTGTTCCTACAGTTGTACAGATGTTTGAGCTTCACCGTGCAGAATGATGCATGTGCAGAGTCTGACACTGTTCTCACATTCATCAAAGTACAAATCTTGCACTTTTTTGGCCCAGCAGGTTTTTTGGTAAATTCTTTATTTCGGGGCAGAAGTTTATATTACAGAACATACATCAGGACAACAGCAGATTTATTTCCTCTGCCTTCCATAGATTTTTTTTTTTATTTTTATACAAACTTTGTACATTTTGGAAGAGGTAAAGTGTGCAAAAAGAGCAATAAAAAAAAAAAAAAGTTTGCTGGAATAAAACAACATTACAGGGTCATTCATTCTGGGCCTTACATATTTGACCCGCTTGGTCCAAAATTTAATGAACACATTTTTCTGAAGATGAAGAGAAAAGGTTATCTTTCTTTTCCATAAATAACATAAATGTCAGTTTACTATATCTCCACTTCTGTATTGCGGAGGGTTCGGGAAGTAACAAGCACCTTGCAAGCCCTTGTTCACATGCGGATATCAAAAAATATTTGGCCCTGTTTTTATGCCGAATGTCAAAAGAAATTATTTCTGAACATCATTTCACAACCTCAAAACTTACTGACCTTTATTTGAACTCATAATAAACCTCCTTTACGTTAATGTCCCATAATGGCTGAAGTCAAACAAGTCCATTATGGAGAGAGCTGCATAATATTTCTTGAGAGGGAGCAGCGACTGCAGTGAGTTGGACAATAATGACATGGAGGAAGAAAAGTTTTCTCATGGATTTTAAAACTCATTTTGAAAGACGGTCAATCTCCGTGGTTTAATTAATGACCATAGTTAGCACGAGGGACGCCCAGCTTCTCAGTGGTCCTGTTACCCAGATTTCAGAATAAAATGAGAATTCATCATCAATGTCATCATTTATCAGATAAAATAAATAATTCAGCTGCCTATTTTATCGCCTACAATGTGACAGTGCTCAAGCATAGTTAACAGTGACTCATTTAATGTTGTTCACGTGCCGTATCTAAACTTGTTTTCTGGATATTCACACTGTCAGCAGTTGGCATAAATTACAGCTGAGGATTTAAGGATACTCGTAACAATTTTCCATGGTTGTTTTTATTCTTTTTTTCCCCCACGAGAGGAAGAAAAATCAATGAACACACACTTTTCTAGACTCATGTGACACTGGAAGTCCTCTGCAGCTGATTAAAACTGGCTCAATCGTAGTGTTTCTTGCTTATTATACTAAACTTATTATATTTTAAGTATCAAAAGGTCTCATTTAAAATCTCTATAGGTTCACTTTCTGTGCTGCTGTAGCCTAAATGTGACCTTGTTTAATTCAGACCTCAGCCGCGTTTGGCAATGTTACAAGGTCCTACGTAGTAAGAGTGCAGTCACAAGGTTTTACAGTAAAATACCTCAGGGGCTTAACATCAATATGCTAAACTGCCAGCACATTTACGTAATGAAGCACATGTCTGAAAGGGGCTCTAGACTGATGTGGATGACAGTTCCCACAGAGGTCCGACATTACAGGACCCGCAAAACAGAGGAAGGCTTTTTTCTACACAGTGGCTCATAATATGTGCAACTGCTACCAGCGATGAAGATGAGGTCAGTGAACGTCTATCTACAGATGTTTTTTTCTACGATGAACGACTTCATTAGAGGTGAATCCACACCAAACCAACCCACGAACAACAGAGTGCGAACAGTAAGAAAAAAGAAGTAGAAAAGAAAGGCTTAATGTGTAGCCGGGAACTGTCAACAGTTTTCTCACACCAAGTTTCATGCATTCCTCTTAAGAGGCGGAGCCTAAGAGACAGGTGCGAAAGTGGGGGGGAAGGGGGGGGGTCACATGTGTAAAGGGGCGGGGCTAGTCACCAGGGGCTCCGTGTGCTGCTTGAGCTCCTCCAGATGCTCTAATATATTCTTCTTTGTGATGATGCCCAACACAATCCTGAAACACACACCCGTTACTCGGTAAACTGCCCAAAAAACAACGACAACAAATAAACATAAACAACAAACAGAAGAGAGACAGAGAGAGAACAGACAGCAGCAGCACAAAACATACATAACAGGTGTAACTTAAAATATTTAACTTAACGTTAACATAAAATACAACTCAAAAATTACAACAACTCAATTAACACAAAAACAACAAAACTTTATCAAACTTAATGTTACAAATTAATTTCAATTATGATGGATCGTAATGTAAATCAACCAATAAACTATTATATAATTAATCATGTGGTTTGAGGTGGCGTTCTTTAATTACGTCATCTTGTTGTGCCTTCTTCTTCTGCAGTGGTTTAATGGCTCCACGACTGGAGAATTAGCGCCACCAACGAAGCAACAACATGATAGTAGTGCATGGAAACGCACTTTAATTCGCATTTTATCTGAATAATCTTCTGGAAATTTGTTTAAAATATATTCTGTTTCTTTTAAATTTTAATAAAAAAAACAACAATGAATTGATCCTAGAAATAAATGTATATATATATATATATAGACACATTATAACATAGCATAACATGAGAATTGTAGTTTATTTTAAGTGCATCTAACATACACCATCTGGCTGCTGTAAATACTCACTAGAGCACCAAATGTGTATTAAATTACAAGAAAATAGTCCCCATAGTAACCAGCTGTTTTGGTAAATGACTCATATATTTTTAAAATGTAAATAAAAATAGTTAAACATAAAAATGTTAATATAAAAAAAAACAACAGTGCTGTGCGGCTGCTCTCTAGTGATTGTCGCAGCAAACTGAGGGAAGTGATCTGTAAATCGAGGAGTGTGAAAGCTATTGAACGCAATCTGTCTTGTAAATACTAGATCACACCAGCAGGTGGCTTTCTACAAAACCTCAAATCTCTAAAACCTCCACCGGATCTCCTCTGACAGATTCATGAGACGTTTATTCTCACTAACTGTACATTTTCAGACCACACATCGACTGATTTTACTGACTCTATTTCCCAACATGATACCTGTTATGTAGTTGTCGTTAGTTTCAGCAGCTCAGTCTCTTCTACTGAGGAGGCTGTTATTGTTCAGTAGGGGGTGAAGGAAGTGCAGCACAGCGGTTAGGCCAGGCCATGCAGATTACAGGGGTAAACCCAGGGGGATCTGAGAGCCCATGCAACACCAGACAGTGTGTACATGTGTTTGTGCAATGTCTGTCGACCTCAGACGGGTTAGTCGATCACAACAACGCCACAAGGAAGGATGTGAGAAGGATTCGCCTTCTGTTCTTACAGCACATCCTTCCTCCTAAGACAATTTCGTTTCCTACTTACCCGTTGTGAGTGACCAGGCACTGGCGCAGCCCCAGCTTTCTGAAGATGTCCACCACGATCTCCATGGGGGTGTGGTCGGTGACGGTGAAGGGGCTCATGTCCAGGATGGAGCGCAGTTTGAGGGGCCGGGGGCTGTCGGCAGGCAGGGTGGGTGCGTGCTGGGTGAAGTACACCCTGGAGTTCAGCATGATGCCCTCCTGCTTTCGGCGAGCATTTTCTGTTGAGAGAGGAACAAGGAAATACTCAAGTTTAAGAGATCTGGAAAAGAGAGACATCATTTTATCATCATTTGGCTTTGGCAACTTTTTCATGTTGGGACACACTTGGAGCAACCTGGGGTTCAATGTCTTGCTTAAAGACAGTTAAACATGTCCAAATGTGGTTATTTTGGTGATATAGTGTGTACTTTTCTTTGTGCAAACCCTAAATCAACCCGTTCTTACTGCTTTCTTCCTGTTCTCACATTTTCCACTGAAATGTGGGAGGAACTATTTGTGGAAACTGTCCTACTCTGTCGAGTTACCTATAGCGATAGTGATGTCCCTGCGCAGAGCGAATCCCACCAGCCTCTGGGACTCCTTGGACACTATCACAGGGAAACCATTATAACTGGTTTCATTGATGGTGGCCTGCAGCTCCTCCACCGTCAGGTCGTCCTGCGTCAGCACCGCTAACGGCGGGTCGCTGTGCCGCGGCCTCATCACATCCCTGGCCAACGTGGTGTGTGTGAATTCCTCCTTGGCGTCCAGGAAGGGGTATCCGTTCAGGCGGATGTGGGCCTCATAGATTCCCTCGCGTCCAAAAGCATCACCCACCCATTTGCTGGTCATGACAGCAGCCATGAGGGGGACGATGTACTCCAACCCACCGGTCAGCTCGAAAACGATGACGACCAGGGAGACGGTCATACGAGTCACGCCACCTGAAGAGAGAGCAGAGTAAGAATAATTTGACTTTCATATTTACCAGAATTAACATTTTAATACCCAGAGATGGGGGGAAACATTAGATACCAGACATATAGTTGCTTCATTTACTATAAAAAACTGCCTTTTGTCAGTTTTCTTTAAATCAAGAGACAATAACATGATGCTAGATACCTTAATCTGTTTAACTTTCTAGAAAATTGTGCAGCCAAGTGAATGATTGTAGATTTTGTTGTGATTGGATTCATATTTAGACAAACATCTGTATTTTGGTGAAAGATTTAAGAAACAATAAATGTATCTTTTATGTTTATGTTTTACCTTTTCTAAAAGAAAAATGTAAATGTTGGAACACAGGGTGTGTAATTTTATATTTAATAGTGGTATGGATCAGGGTATAGTAAAAGAAAGTCAATTGAGAAACCCCTTATTGATAAAGTAACCTGATAGGAATGAGAATGACAATGGGCACTGTATAAACATAAATAAAAATATGTGAGCGTAAACACATTGTCTCTTGGTATATATCGTCATATCTTTCACCTCTTGGCACTGATAGATAAATGATGACTCACCCAGACACGCTGCGGCCCCCACCATAGCGTAGAGCCCTGGCGTGATGCAATCGGCTCCCACCTCGCACCACTCTTTGAACAAGAACCAGTCGTGGTGATAATAGGCGAGCTGCTCCATGGCGATGCCGACGATTCGCCCTGCGATCGCTCCGATGGCCATGCTGGGGATGAACAAACCAGACGGTACCTGAGGAGGAGGAGCAAGGTTTAGTTTTGATGAAGACATGCAGCGTAACACATTTGTTAGGAAAACACATCCAGTGATCACCTTGAGTCCGAAGGTAAATATGGTCATGATGATTTTAAAGATGAGCGCCAGGCAAAGTTGCCACATGGCGGCGTAGACGCCTGGCCCTGCCGGCCGGTTGGGGTTGTCACTGAAGGCCTTGCTGCCGTTCATCTGGCTGCGGTACTGGCAGAGCTGCGAGGACTCCAGCGGGCCGCAGTCGGTGAACAGCTCCTTTATCAGCTCGCTGGTGTTCTGACGCGTGTACGGGTTCGGGAAAGCAACCACAGCTGTGATGGCCGCCACCAAGATCACCTCCAACACCGGGTACTTGCCTGAAGAGAGGGACGATGCAACGTGTCAGACTGAGGGAGGCGTTCAGCGTGCTGTGCCTCTAACCAGAATCTCAAGTCTAACACTGATGCATATTCAAAAAGTTACAAAGCATCAAAGTTATGTGCACTAAAACAAGATTCTGATATAAAATCTGACAGCAGATAACGTTAAAGCTGCCAACCTTTTATTCCCCTGTATAAATCATGCTGGCATTTGAGTTCTTTCTGCTAGTACAAACTGCTGACAGTGATCCTCCAGACAGCCCCATCAATTACAACTACCTTCACCTTCAAACACATGAGCTGGCTGACATTTTCCCAATTTCAAATGAAGTCAGTCAAGTACTTGCCGAAGCGTGTTGATTTGCGCCGCCGGCACCAAGCGATGTTGGCTCGGATGAAGAAGGCTCCCCAGAGGCCTCCGAAAACTCCCAGAAGGATGAAAGGGATGAGCTCAAACAGGTACCACGGTGTGTGGTACTCCACGTAGAACAGCACCAGGCGGCTGTTACCAAACGGGTTGATGGAGCGCAAGACGAAGGCCGCCACCAGGGCAGCAAAGAAGGAGCGCCACAGCGTCTTGAGAGGGAAGTAGTAGCTCACCTGGAAGAGAGTGAGGAGAGTTTAGATGTTGAAACAGTCATTTTTTTGGCAGTTCATGAATCAACAACGACATGTGCCGCACCTCCTCCAAGCTGAAGAGCACTCCTCCAATCGGGGCTCCAAAAGCAACAGACACTCCGGCTGCCGACGCCGCAGAGAGAACCTAAGAGAACAAAACAAACGAACCTCAGCAGACGTGATGAGGACACAAACAACTTCACTGACTCTAAAACATCACAATAAACAATAGAACACCGGGGAGGATAAAATGTTTTATGTTCCAGTAACACTGATTTATACGTCTTCTCTCTCACCTCTCGTTTCTTGGCCTCGTTCTTGCTGTACTTGGGGAAGAGGTAGGAGAAGATGTTCCCACAGCAGCAGGCCACGTGGACCAGGGGGCCCTCCTTCCCCAGACTGAGGCCAGACGCCACAGCCAGCACCAGAGTGATGGTCTTAATCATCAGGGTCCACTTGCCCAAGTAGCCCCGGATGATGAACCCACTCAGGATAGTCTTGATCTGGGGAGAAATGATGAGGAAGGTGGAGATAAATCTGAAGTCCAGCTACAAGGGTGAGTTTGATTCCAACTAAAAAGGTCAGAATACGGTGACAAATGTCCATCACAGTTACCTGGAGCTGAAGGTAATGTCTGTTTTGTTTGACCATCAGCTAAAGATATTACATTTATTGTGATAGAAGCTGGAACAAGCCAATGTCCTGCATTTCAACACTTGCCAATTGATTGTCCATCACTTATTCAATCAACTAATTGCTTCATTTTGTAAATGAGAAAGACGTTTAAAGCCCCTGGAACTAACTTCCTTGTAAATGAGTGATTTATGTTCTTTTATGGATGCAAACATAGAAAATACAATGAATTCAAGACTCTTTCCCTTTCTTTTATATTTTTTAGGCCATTTTATAACTTTATTAGAGAGTAGATTGCAGAGAGCTGCCAGGAAATAACCAAAGTTATTTGGATAAATTTCGGATTTCAGATTTAAAATCAGCAGACAGATGACGTCATATATCGACGTCTAATAAAATATGTTCAAGTTGCCTTTTTTCGATTTCTTTATGCAGATTCAGCTGCATCTCTACCTCCGGATCTTGTCCTCTATTCTGTTGTTGTCAACGTGAGTCTCATCTACCAGGCGCTTTACTTGGCAATGCAGTTCCAGCTCTCTTGTTCCCATGGCAACAAAAGGGAAATTTTTTTCACAGCACGGACAAACCTGTCATGTCTCCCTGCTGCTCACTGAATTAACAATTTTAAGGCACTTCAGGACGTTAAAGGAAAACCCATAAACGCGACGACACACTGTGTGGATCCCACAGATTGCACATAAGCCATTAGACCACTTTCATGGAGAGATAAGAAGCAGCTGCAGAGATTTATAGACTTTCTGTTTCATGTGCCACTTCGAGTTTCTGACAGCCAGATGCACATTGATCAGACATGAGAAAATGAGAGATAAAACAGAACATCAATAGTCTGTTTCAGATGCAGGAAAGGACACACAAAGAGAAATAACTTGCTAACCTCATTAGTTTGATTTAACTGATACCTTCTATGGCAAAAAGTAGTTTGTCCAGGAGTCTTAAACCAAATCAATATCTGTCAAAAAACTTTAAAAAAAAAATAAAAAAAAGATGCCGTTTGAAATCTCTCCACTCTTGGATGTTCAGAGTTTCAAAATGGCCCCAGCACGCAGCTATAAGCATGTTTCAAGTGTACCTGAAAGCTGAAAGGGTTTTGTGAAAGCAACATTTTCCTCACCTCAGGGATCCCCGAGCCGCAGGCGTACGGAGCAAACACCTTGACCAGACAGACGGCCAGGAAGGCGAAGGACAGAGCCCAGTAGATGTACATGAAGTAGTTCATGATGTACGAGCCGGGGCCCTGCAGAGAGTTGAGGAAGAGGAGGGCAGCAATTGTGAAGCAGCATTGTTGAGTTTCACTGACGATAACTTGATAGCGATTGAAAAAGAAAGCAGCAGGGTGGTGAGTATGACACATACTGATGTAAATAATGTAAATGTACATTTTATTAAGAGTTTTGAGGTTGCATTAGCAGCAAAGAGGAGCAAAAAATAAAAAAATATGGAGGCTAAATAATAATAAAATGTACTAATAAAAGAGGGTAAATCAGGAATAAATGCCTGTCTCTATGTTAAGCCCTTAAAACAATAAAATCAAAGCTAGCTGTTGCGGACGTCGCTTGCATGTGCCTGCGTTAGTCTACCTCAGCCTGCCCCAGTATTAGCTCAGCCCAGCTCTTCCACTGAGGACACTTGTCCCGCTCAGCGAAGGTGGTCTCATTGGACGTCCAGCAGCACTGCTCGTGGTTGAACCACATGGCGCTCAGACACACGCCCTCCTTCAGGTCGTTCATCCAGTCAGCAGCAATGTCAATCAGGCCAGCCAAAGCACCTGGCAGGAGGAGGGAACCAGGAAGGAAAAGAGGGGCGAAGAAGTGAAGGCAGGAAGTAGAAAAAGAGAAAAAAAGAGGCAGAGGCATTTTTTTTTTATTTAGAGCCTCAATTTAGAACAACAAGGTAGACCCAAATTGTGTAAAGCTGCTACATCCAAAGAAAATACAAAATGAAACCTGACACTTGTATTCAGGCACTAATCCTGGCGGCTAAAGAGCAGGGACACCTACACTAAATATTTACCTACAGAAGGTTTTATAACCAATTCACTACAGGAAATTTACTTTATACTAGAAATATGCACATCATAAGGCAGACAACAGCATGTTCTAAAAATCAGTGATGGTCTGAAATGAGTGAAATCTTTAATTTCACGTTTATGGTTTATATGTTTCAGATCAGATGAGCCTTTATTAGCTGTGTCGTGGGCTCTTTTAGGCAGAAATACGTGTATCAGTACCGCAGACATCTTTAATTTTTAAATAAAATGATGATTTGTATATGAGCAGGGGAACACCATGGCGTATTTTGTCCATACGTTCCCTTTGTAACCTGGACCTTAGAGAAGCCCTTCTACAAAAAAACACATTTTAGAGCAACTTAACTTAAGTAGTACAAAAGTCTGTTGGTTTTCTCTCTTTTGGTGGCCACAGAAACATAAATCATTTATGTAAATTACAGCTGCTTTGAGGACTGTCTGGTGAGGCTCTAGCACGAGAGAGGAAATGCTTGTTTGTGTTTGTGAGCGAGTGAGAGCAAAAGACAGAGAGAGAGAGAGAGAGAACAAGAGAAATACTGAGCCTCGGGCGAAGCATGTGAGAGTCACCAGCGGAAGAGATAATGGCAGCGTGAGCGTGCTTGTACTGTGTGTGTGTGTGTGTGTGTGTGTGTGTGTGTGTGTGTGTGTGTGTGTGTGTGTGTGTGTGTGTGTGTGTGTGTGTCTGTGTGTGTGTGTCCATGTGTTTTACCTGAGGCCAGGCCAGTGAGCGTCACCACCAGCCACCCAGACCAGGCGTCGTACAGGCTCTTTGTGAACTCCCATGCTGACTCTTTTTTCTTGCTGTTGATCTAAAAACACAGAAAACACACACAAGACAGTTTGTGCACAAAAGCAGAATTACATACTTTAATAACAAATTTAATAGGAGAAAATGTAATTTGATGAACATGGATTGAGTTACTTACACTCAAAGTAATGTAGTACGTTTATAACAGCTCCCCACTGATAAGCAATTCAGTAATTTACTATAGTGGCCACTGTTGCTTCAATAAAATGGTTAATTGCACTATTTGCATTCCAGGTAAGGCCAGGTTATAAAAACAATGTTTGCCAAAGTATTCATGTAACATAGAAATTCTTATTTCCGGGAGCGCTGCACTAAATCACTTCTGGACAGCAGGCTGTAAAGTTGTGTCAATATTTGGATAAAGGTGTTGAATAGAGAGGTTGTATCAGTGACGGGGAGATGTGGGGCAAGTTTATTGTGTGTTTATTCATTCTGGTTCATTCATGAGTTCTGTACAATGAGATTTCTACACTGAGAAACGACCAACTGCTACTGAAGACTGGCAATAGCTTTGATGTTAAATTCTTTTTCGTTGGACTTCCTCTTGATAAAGTTTTAGTTTCTGTCGGTAGGTTGCACTATTTTCCTTCTCTGTGAAACCCTTAAGGCTAAAACTGCTGATCCTAACTACTTAGTTCTTCTTTTGTGTGATCCAAAACACACTGTTGCTCCACAGGAAACGCGTGATACATCACTTCCTGTGCAGCAGAGGATTTTTTTCGCTGACACCAGCTCATGTGGCAAAGCTGTATTAGCTGGAAATAGACTGAGGTACGAGGTTGTGAGAGCAGAGTGTCAATTTGAAGCTACCATTGCAAACCAATTCTGAGCTCCAAAACTCCCTTTGATATGTTTTAAGGCGTAAAGGCCTCAGTATGCTTCAGACAAGGTGCTTGTTGGATTATTTAAAGGCGGGATTGTCCGTGGACATCACAAATAACCATCTGACAAGAAGTTCTGATGAAGCAAACTGGCAGCGTAACAGTGTGTACGTGTACCCAAACCAAAGAATTGCCTTGGTCGGACGACGTCGTACAAACTAGCTCGTTTGAAGTATACTGAAACCTTTAAAAGGTTAAAGGTTGCATTGCTGGCCAGCCTCAGTTTCCTCACCTTCCGGTGCCTCTCGCGATCCTTGCACTTCTCGCGGACCCAGTCGATGGTGTGGAAGTCGTCGTAGGTCCCCACACCAGGGATGGGCTCCTCTAGGAAGTCCAACAGGTGGGTGGTGCTGCTGGGTGCCCCGCCCCCGTTAGACATGGCGTAGTTAGACCCTGAAGGGGAAACACAGAAAAAAAAGAGTGTAAGGCTTTGCAAAATTCATGGTTAAAATATATATATAGTGTTTAGAATAATATCTTTTGGTGCACAGTGTGATTCAAAAGAGAAAGAGCCTTATATCAAACAATACAATATGCTGCCAGAGCATTATGGATATAAAAAAAAAAACATTTTGGCATGAGACACACTGTTGAAACTCTATATACATATACAAACATTTATTTTTCCTCAGAGACATTTTACCAGAGAAACCTAAACTCGGCAAGTCATTCCAGTCGCTGCAACACGGATCAGAAATAAGCTACAGCAAATACTTTTTACAATGTTAAAACAAAAAAGAAAAGGTAGTGATGTGGTATTTTGCTACTCTGCAGTACATCTGAGCATCTTATAAATGCTCCTAAAAAGAAAGGATATCCATCAGAGTGCTGCCGACTGCACACATTAGAGCTACATCTCCTCGATTATCCAGCTCATCAGAAGCACTGCAGAGCTAAAACACACACCACTGATATATAACGACGCAGTCGAAAACACAGCCCCGCTAATGAGAGAACCCTGCAAGCCCTGCAGTCCATCACCTCATCCTGAACAAAAACAATTAAGGAGTGGAGGTTTATTTGCTCCGCTGGAACATTTGGATGAGTAAACTTTTGCTGAAATACCTGTAGGAAATCTCTCCCTCTGTCTGTTGATCCTCCTGCTGCTGTGAGATGCAGATCACTATGTGTAAGTGGATGCATGAGTCGGCAGATGGTCTTTTTATATTTTACATTTTGAACATCAAAGCTTTCAAAATGTGAATCAGCAACAAGCCAGACTAAGTAAACAACATTTTACTTATACCTAAAACCTAACAGATGCCTTGTTGGCTTTTTCTTGGAGCCATAAAATCCTCTGTCCTTATAAACCTTAACTGCTTGGATGTCTGGCAGTCTCATTAGCGCTGGTTCGATTGTATCGGCCTACAGCCTGCAGGACAATGAGATTACCTTTAGGGCCAATAACCATGTAAAGTAAGTTCAGTAATGGCTTCAGCATGACTATGATTGGTCACAGCACATATCTAAGATTTAACAAAAAAATAAATACAAAGCAAACATTGTCTACTGCCTTTGAGCAGACGGTGCGGATACTGTAAAAAGATAGATACAGTGAGTATGTAAGTGGTTAGATCTGACCTGTTCTGTCTGGATGCACAGATTCAATATGAAGCAAAAAGCAAAACATATCAACTTACATCAGCAAACATACACGCACACACACGCACACACAGAAAGTATAACAGAGCGAGGAGCAGATTCCCTCTGCCTCTTATCTGGAAAACATCGCAGGATTTGCATGGCTGCCATTTGGCTTCCCTGGCTGAGGTGGCTGCATGATGCGACATTACTTACGTAAAAGAAAGTGAAAACAGTAACATTATAAAATAGTTCTGAGTCAACATAATCTTCTTATCTGTCATCCACATAATTCAGTAAGTCGATTCCATTATTGAAGTATAAGAGGGTCATCAAATTAACTTTAAAATGCACTACCGCATGTTTAATCTAGCTCAAGTGTGTTTGATAAATTAGGGAGAACTCGTCCTCCCACGTTTGAGATTGTCAGAAAAGCTGAGCCTAATCCTCCTACTTGTGACGACAAAAATATGCGAGACTTCTTCATCTGCAACACAAAGGCAGTACAGTGTGTGACAAGGACAAAATGGAGACACAGAGCAACAGCTTCGGTTCAAGTGTTCAGCAGAACAATGAAAAATATGTGCGGTTACTCAAAATAATAATGTGACACATGTACAAGAACAACTTGTTTCTCCTGTCTGTGTACATTCAGCAATATCAGATTAATTCACACGCAAATGGGTGTAATTTTAGTTTATGTCATCCAACACATTTCCACCTTAAACGGAAATACACGCTGGGAAATTTAAAATGTACGCCAGGAGATTACAGACCAATTACTTCAGGGACAAAAGGTAAGAGCAAGAAAATTGTATTTAGTATTTCAACCCATCTTTAAGAGTAACTTAACACCAAGCCAAAAAAAACAATGGGGCTCTGCTGGGTGTTGTATCACTGTTGCAGGGCGAGAACTTCAACCACCAGAGTCTTAAACCAACCAGCGTTTTAGACTGCTGAAAGACAAATAGGAGCACAATGCAAGGTCTTTTGTTCACTAAACAAATATTTCTTCTGTCAGACATTGATTTGACCTTTGAAGACGACCTGGAAGATTAACTCCCAACACTTGTTACTCACGTAGCATCGAGCTGAGGCTTCCCCTGCCGTGATTATTCAACCATTCATTCATTCATTCATTCGGTGCCATGAGGTCAGTCACACAGCAGTCAGGCAAGTTGTTGCTGAATATTCCATCATCCTGCGATAAGACACTGTTGGCAGCAGTGGATGTCACTGAGGGTAGAAACAGTTTGACCGACCCCGAACTTCAAGTGCTAATTAAGCTAATTTGCTAGATACATTTAACTCAGATGGTTTTCTACCAAGGAGAACACAAACAAAAAGAAAATTCCCACCATGAATGCCATTATTTGACTTGTGTGATCTGTAACAATATGAAACAAAAGCACCTCAACATGCAAATAAATTGCAGACATGTGGGACAGGCAGAAAATCCTGTGGTCATTTGAACAGCAAACGTACACATTCCAGTCCACGATACACATTTGCCCTCACATTTTTAATCTCCCGAGCTTAACTACAACTGGGGCAGGGTCATGACTATCTAACAAGGCTTCATTCATAGCTGTTAACCCTCTGTGATCTGCTTTAAACAATAACAGGAAAATCCCTTAGATGGCTCTACATCCTTTCCAAGCATTACTACACTGCAACTGCTATTACACCACCAAGGTATTAACACATGATAACTGAGCTACACAACTCAATGCACCAAAAAATCAACCCACAATAGGTGAGGAAGACCACAAGCAGTTAAAGTCAGATGCTTTTTAAAAAAATATTATTATCAAATTATATACATCTCAGTTTGGAATAAAGCTCTTGCACACTACCGACATCATTATCCCCAATAATTGAAGTATACGCAGAAGATGGAGTCTGTTTCCCAAAGAGTTCCCACATCACCAAAGAGCCTTTGAAAGTGAAGCTTATTAGCTCATATCGCAGCCTTTGATGTTTGATGGGATGTGGGAGAGGAGAAATAAGTCGAAACCCCCTATGGTGAGAATTTCTCTAAGGCGTAGGGACAAAATGGTCAAGAGTAGCTTTAATCTGACCAGTCGATACATATCGTGTCCAGAGAGGAGAAAGAAGAAGTGAGTGTGTGAGCTGTTGCAGACTCAGCAGCAGTGAGAGTGTGGCTCAAAGAGGCTCTGCATGGAGACGGATACCATCTTTCTCCATTTTGATTTTGATTTCAGAGTGACCGCGACAGTCTGGATTGTCCTGGGATAGTGTGTGTGTGTGTGTGTGTGTGTGTGTGTGTGTGTGTGTGTGTGTGTGTGTATGTATGTGTGTGAAGGGGAAGCTAGATGGTGATGACTCAGTTGTTGACTCAACAAAAGACATGGAGGTCTGGTTTTTGGAAACCACTGAGATATGATCTTTCAACAACAGACAGCTGAGGGCAAAAAGAAAAGAATAGTACAGCTAGGAGCTATGGGTGGTGTGACTTTCTAATTAACTGAAACGTCTACATGCTATATAAATCAACTTTCCTTTAAGCAATCAATTTGTTTATCTGGGAGAGTGAGTGAGAGAGTGAGCTATTTCACTTAAACCGACGACCCTCAAGAAAGGTGCGACATGTCTCACGGCTGCTTTAAATTCTGTCCTTTCTCCATACAAAGTATGCAAAGTTCAAACTCACATCCTTGTTAGCCTGCGACCGAAGAATCGATGATACGAGTCATCAGTCGAGAAGATCCTGAGTCGACTCACACGCGCTTTGTCATTTTGTTTGCACCTTGGTTTTTTAGCAGCGTCATTGTACCCAGAGTGACAGCATGACTGTGTGAGTCCAGTGTTTTGGCTGCTCTGACGATCTCTGCTCGGGTGATGACTGTCAATGAACTTGGCTAAACCTCTTGTGAACCAGACGGTGGGACAACTTCCTCTACTGTCCACGGTGATGGGACTCGTCAGCTGACAGCCCTGTCAGGAGCCCAGCAGCGGAGACGCTGCGTGGTGCATTGGGATTTGTACACAAAACTATGATCCACACTTTTACTTTCTCTGACTGTGTGGAAATGGGATGTTTTTATAATCCCAGTTGACAAAGATAGGCAGTAAAATGTGAGGTAGGCTAAAAAATTAGACTGATGCAGAAGTTTAGTGACACGTTGAACTGAAAAAACAGTTCAATCTTCGAATTGAACAGCCAGATCTGATTAGTCGGGTACAGCCTTAAAAGGTCCGACTCCCGTTTTTAATCTTTACTGGACGTGTGTTTAACTCGAAGCATAGCTCTGCACCTTCACACACAGTGAGACAGACTTCATTACAGAGCTCGATGACCTTGTGAATCCAGCTGCTGGGAGGGTCTTTAAGTCCTCCTCGAAACAAAAACCTGGACAGAGAGATCAGAACAAGATGAACAATTATGCTCAAGAGTTACTCTTGCTGTTTGAGAAGCGTTATTATAATAAATCTTGAGAGTGGGCAACCTGTTCCTGTCACTATTTGAAGACACTGCATATTATATTGATTTTTTAAAAAGGTATTCAAACAACACAATGAATGAGATGGCGATAATGAATCTGCAGTCCATCTTGGTGCACCTTCAGGTGTGTGTCTTGGTTTTTGCTCATATAACAAGTTCTGTATTGGACAATATTTAATTCATTCATTCATTCATTTATTCAAAAATCACTACCATGCCAAACTACATTGTAATAAACAACCTCACCCTGATTATTTGTGCAGTTAGAGGAAAATACACCAACAATCAACTGCACATTTAGTAACCAGGGTCAGAAAATAACAGGCTATAAGCAAAATATGCTGAAGAAGATTCAGGACAGACCCATTAACTGAAGAAAAAAATGCTAAATATGCATGAGTAAGTGGGATTACTGCCTCTTATGGGCCACTGTAGGTGATTCATGATTCATTAAAATCTTACGCATCTATTAGTAGCACATACACACACATAAATATGGTTTTAAAGTAATACACTTCTCCAAAGTCTGCTGCCAGGGCCCCAGCAACAGCTTAACAAATCATAGTGCTTTATGATTCCCGGCAAGTGTATAATTTCATTTAATTAATGTGCACCAGAAAAAATGAAGATGAAGGGGGCTAAAAAACATTTAATGGAAACGTTAAATGACAACAACTCAGCAGCGTCAGTCTCTGAGCATAAAGAGAAGACTGCGGCTCTACACTGCAGTCACTACTGCAAAAAATGTCCAGCTCTCAAGTAGGAACAGAACGGATGTGGATTAATTAGAAGGGAACATTTTCCACTTCCAGTAAGAAAACGAAGGGATTTGACTGATGAGATAAATCAGACTAGCCCCACCTGATGATGCTGCACTACTGGCAGCCATCAAATTAGGAGTGCGGAGCCAAGCGAGGGTGACGCTACGGAAAAAAACAAAACCCGAAGGGGACTGCATACGAGCACATGGCTATCACGCACTACAGGGCACGAAGACAAAGAGACGAATGTGCACATGAGAATAAGGATTCAGTTTCTTTCCCCTGTGCATTAGTACAGTGACACAGCGGTTCTGTTCTGTCTGCAGCAGGGGCTAAAAACCACTTTGGTGCACACACAGGCTTGCTGACTGTCAATGATACCACTTCTCCAATTGAACAGTAGTTAACATGGCCTTCCTGTGTTACTATGATCGGTGAGGTCGGAAACGACCAGCAGACAACTGCTTGTTCGGAGTCTTTAGGTTGAGAAAGTCCCGATTGACTTCAGTCCTACGACCACAGCTGCGTTCCCCCTGTATTAGGCCTACTCTACTACTGCTGAGTAAATCAGATCAGAGAGGTTTAGAGGCAGCTGGCTAAGACACCCTGGGTCAGCCCGGTTGGAGTAGGGTTAGTCTGCTCAGCCATCAGGTGATCAGCATCGAAAACTGACCCCGACAACCTGCTTGTATCCTAAAGAGCCAGTCGGATGAGCAGACTGGTGGAATCCCCAGAGTCGCACGAAAAGGCTGACAAATAAATGGATCAAAGTCCGAAAAGCCTGAGGACTCAAATGCCCTTTTTACATAACGTTCCTTTGCGTGTTTACATATGACATGATGGTTCCAGAAAGCTGACACAAGGCCACTTTGTTTAGTATATTTTGTTTTAGCAAAATAGCACTGCACACACTGTAATATAATATATGTATTACATTGTGACTAAATATCCAGTTTCACAGGATATTAAAGCAGGAAATTGGCAAACCCACGTATCTGGATTAGAAGTCATGTAACCATGACATGAAAAACTGCCAAAAGATACATGAGTCTTCTTCTAAAGGCTGCCAAAGTAGAAAGGGGGGTGAATGTACGGTTAGATCATCTAGAGAGAAAGGAGAGGACTAACTGAACTGAAAACTATCAAACTGCGCTCCTGCGAGGAGAGAGGAAATAAAAGCTTGTATGTATGGACGTGCTCCTGCACACAGTGGATGTAGGCAGCAGCGGATCTGATCTAAACTCACTAGGGGCCTTTTGTCTTTGTTAACTCACCGTAAAAATCTAACAAGGCCTGGAGGAAGCAACGCACGCACACGGGAAAACTCCCAAAAGGCCACATGGGAAGACAAACAACGATACAGCCAAAGAACAAACATTTTTCTGAGAAAAACGAGTGATAATTTGGCACAAATTACGGCACGACTTCACCCCGAGGACCCCGTTATGAATGATGTGACGTGACATCCTGAATGTGGCCAACAGGTGTCCTCGCGCTGCAGGAACATTGTGAAACACATCATCAACACACAGCCTAGATCTACGAACGTCCAGTTTACATATTTACTAGCCTAAGCCTGACTGTGCCTCTGCGTGGGGGAAATTAAAATGGATGCCCACGATGTTGCCTTTAGTCGCTTGCTGCTTACAGGCCCAGGCACAAGCCTTAAAGGCTAAATCACCTCTCCCATTATCTTGTTATCTCTGGCTGACGTGCACAAATGCAGATGGTTAATCATCAACAGTGGTGAGAGGTGAATGGTGAAACTAGCTGACCGGATAGCTCTTCTGCTCCCAAAGAACATGCAGAGTAATGGCAGCTTCTAAGCCACACACACTGGCACTCCGATTGCCCTGCCTCACCGACAACAGCAGATGAGGCAGCGTTTGTTTAACCTGTGTCTGCCTGCCATATGTGTACATGCACTCACTGTACGAGGAGAAGAAGAAGGAGGAGGAGGAGGACGGCCTCTGTCATCACAGCAGCGTGACTAAAGGGATGGGGGAAAAATAAAAACTAGAGGGGACGTGGCGTACCTCTTTTAGGGATCTCCTGCAGGGGGATGGTGTCCCCTCCCCCGTCGTAGGGCAAATAGGGGTCGGCTGCCGCGTCCTCCTCCTCCATGTTGACAGCTGAGACGAGGCTAAAGCTAAGCTAGGCTTCACTACGCACTGCTGGTTGTGTGTGTGTCAGCCGCTGCCATGTTTACCAGCGGAAGGCAAGCAGGGCTGCATGAGTGAGAGGGAGTGTGTGTGTTTGAGTGCACAGTCCTCTCGATCTCCCTCCCCCTCCCTTGTCTTTCTCTTTCTCTCTCTCTCTCTCTCCACTGCAGCAGCTGACTGTTAAGAGATGATGATGTCATCACACACACACACACACACACACACACACACACACACACACACACACACACACACACACACACACACACACACACACACACACACACACACACACACACACACACAGGGAAAGACGATCACACCAGGCCGGTCAGCCCTGCCTGCCTGCTTGGTTGCTAGGGGAGATCAGTGAGCCCTGCCTGTATGGGAGAGACCATGGTGTCGGGTCACAGGGGTGTCTGTGAGTGTTTGAAAGGGTGGGCGCTGAAAAGGAATATTCCATTCTGTGCAGGGGGGGTTAAAATAAAGAGAAATTTAAGATCGTATAGTTTAGTGAGGAACAGGCTGAGGAGCTTGCTGGGGAATAATAATGGATCAAACTCATTCTATAAATCATTTTTCAAGCAAAAAAGTAACTGATCCAGCTCCTAAAATGTGAATATTTCTTGCTCTCTTTGTTTCCTGTGATGGTAAACTGAATATGTTTGGGTTTTAGGCTGTCAGTTGGTCCAAAAAAAGGACAAATGTCTGACAACGTGGAGAGTAAATGATTGATCAACAACATATTCTTCAGATTAATTAATATGAAAAGTAATTATTTGCTGCAGCTAGATATGCATCGATCTGATCTGCTGGAATTGAGGCTGATATTTAACTTAGGTTATCGACCACAGGTGACCAATCCACTTTAAATTTCACAAATGTCATAAAAATCAAGTGTTTAAGTGTTTCTGCTATTAGTTATATTAAGTTACAGCAGTCAAAGCAACTTAGTGTCACAGCAGTTCCTTTCCCCTTAAGTAACTTCACAAAAAATGATCCCAATGAGCTCCAGCCAGTGAGGCATACAGATTTTACAATTGGCAAAAGAGAGTATCTAGTATCGGATTGATGATTGTATCTGCAGAAACTCTGAGTTCAGTGAAAAAGTTAGATAAGTCCATCTCTGTTTACAACCCTGACTGATAAAGGAGAAAACTTTCCGTAACAATTTTGCCAATTCAAATCAAAATCACTTTTTCTATTCATAGATGATATGAAAGAAGGCTTTGTGATTGCACAAACAAGCAATAATTATATGCCCATGGGAGTTATTTGCCAATTTGCCTTGTTATTTCGGTTATTTTTCAATAAAATACCACCGTGACTGCTGCCTCGCCTTCAGGACGCAAAGACATTTGAAACGCTGTTTTGGGGATCATAAGAGAGAAGAAGCAAAAAAAAAAAGTGGTCGGACACACAGCAGTTGCTCAATCTTCCTCTCTCGTGTTCACTCTACGGGGAGGATATGAAACATGTGAGATAACATCTGGACGTCTCACAGCATCTGTGCAACAATGCAAGACAGACTTTACTGAATCTAATGTAGAGGAACCCCCCACCTCCACACATACACACAGCCATTGTGAACTGAAGTGGATTTCATGGATAAACACAGTCACTGTATCTCAAGGTGGAAGGTGTTTTGTAAACTTGGTATGATTATGCGTTATTATAAAACAATGCCGCTACTGTCGGGTCCTTCATGCCCTGGCATTTGACACGCTGTAATTTTGTTGCCACGATAAATATAAAAAAAAACCAGTCTGCCCCACCTTAAACCTCCATGCCCTCTTACCTTAAAGCAGGGCTCCCGTTGCTAGGCAGTGACACAGGTGATGTCGGCCATAGTTTGTTACCTCCCTCCTCAACAAGTCCCAGTCAGGACGCCAAAGCAGCAAAACAGCATGAAGTTTGCAATGGAACAATCTCTCGAGTTTCCGTAATCCAGTGAGTTAAGAGTAAACAGAGTAAATCCTCTTCAGTTCAAGGACCCACATTTTCCAAAGCATTTATTTCCTTTACGTCTCCTTAGTAAACAAAAAGTTACAGAAAAGATCTCCACAGGGCTACAGAGTGAGCCAGCCCCTTTTCTCACACTGCAGTCACAGCACAGAGGAGGGCTTTACTAAGTTTCCTATGAACCCACCCACTCATAACTATGTAAAAATAGCACAGAAGGGGGCAGAGAAAGGACCCACATCAACTTCAAGGAAGCGCGGTCATCCAGAGATTTCCTGAAATGCTACCTTACACCAGCTGGCAGTCAAACTTGTTCACAGGAATGTCCGGTCTGGGTGTCACACACAGGACTGACGCGACTGGGAGGTGGAGCCCAGGCATTTACAGTAGTTATGAATGTATACTGGGCTCCACCTTGTGTACTACTGAGTAGGAGACTAAAAAGGTAAGACTGGCCAGGCCAAGTAGTAGTTATGAATGCCGTTGTTACGACCTGGTTAATACAAAAGTTGTTATCAGATGCTGTCAGTGTCAATTATGTGTTGTGTCACTGACTGCTTCAACTTTTCACTGAAGCTCGCCCTCCATTTGTAGCAGCAGTGACAGTGTAAGTGGTGGCAGGTTAGGGTTACCCCACGCTTTCACCTTTCACAGTTAACTGCCCAGAGGTCCAGTTTCAGAGTCATAGAATAAGAGAGACTGGAGACACTGAAATGTAAGCCAATACCTCTTATATAAACTCATACAGTACATAAACACAACCTCTACTACTTCTGATAGTAAAGTCATACGGCAAAGACGAAATACAGAACTCATAAATATGGAAAATCCCAAACAAAAAGCAGCAACTCCCCCAAAATAACATCATTACTCCTAATCTAGCAATGTCCTTTACATAGTTTGTCCACCAAAGAGTTTTACTCTGTAAAATGTCCCGCTCAGTATGTATCTTGGTCACACAAAACAAATCTAAGAGATCTGTGTCAAGATTGTTTATCTTTAACCTGGTATCCAAAATTCATGTTACCACGAACTGTGTTTGAAGCTGAATGCTTACATTAGCATAGTAGAAATACCAATGTTGGTCTCCAGCTTAAAACTAAACACAGACACTACCTCCAGGCCCAACCTGCATTACAGCCTCGCTAGCTAGACTTTGATCTTGTTCAATAAAATCTTACTCCTGTCTGCATCCTGCTGCGCTGCACATGGTCTCCCCATACAGTTAAAGTCATCTATGTGTGTCCTACTGAACAGCCTGGTCACCCACCCACAGTCCCCTTTTCAATAATGAATAAGCCGAGTCTAGACTGTAGAGTTGTTATATCACTATTTACAGCACTTAGAAATCATACAACTGAAGTCAGTAGGCAATAAACTTTGAGAGAGTCTTGATGTAAGTAGTGTTTCTAAAATGGTCAACTTTCAAGTTTAAGGACAGTAAATTCCTAAAAAAAAATACAAACTTATGGTGGTCAAAAAGCTGTTTACGTGTTCAGATGACTTGAAAAGTGTGAAAGTGCTATAGAGAAGTTAAAGTACTAGAGATACCAGGAACTGCCATCGAATATGTTTTTAGCTTCTGAGCATTAGATTAAACTTTAAATTTTAAATTAAACAGAAATATCAGGATTTTCACACCAACCATGTAAGTGCTGCATGACTTATAACCGAGGATAACAAATAACGCTCGATTCAGAAGGCTGCAATAGAGCAAGTCTCGCTACAGCCTCGGCAGTGCAAAACAGGAACGGCTGCAAACAGCTTAAACTGAAGAAAGCTGCACCACAGAAAAGGGAGGTTGCAGATGATATTGTGGCCAGTTTACTTTCACCTTACAAACAAATGTATATTTTTATCTTTTATATTACTGAGTAATGTTTCTTTACTCTTAACACTTTAAACAGACTCAAATAAAGGCTCTTACTCCTAATTATCCAGTTCAAATTGCTCAGCAAACACTTAAAACAGAGTTTCAACAGAATATAGTGCCTGAATCTCATGCATCAACACACTAGTTTGCTCTTCTTCCATGTGATTTCACATCAAATCAAACAGTCTGATTAAATACAAGCTGTTCATATTTGGAGAGCCAAGTTCGACGGACGCCTCTGACACAACCCCTCAATGTGTGCGTATTTTCTGTTTGATCAGCTGCAAGTCAAGACTGAAAAAAAAGTGGGGGGAAACAGAGGAATCAGCATATTTACTCAGAAAAGGAAGAACAAACCGGATGCAGCAAATCGGCTGTTGATGAGACACCAGATATACCAGTCAGGGTGCCACCGAGCTTCTGAATGAATGAGAAACAGGTGACTGTACTGGAATGACAGGTATGACCGTAATTATGTGGCATGGCAGCCAGATAAGCAACATAAGACTGGCAGAGATCACTTCAGGCAGTCTAATTATGAACGAGGTAACGATGAGGACTCATCATGTAACCCAGCAGAAGACACAATGGCACAACACGCTCTTTAAAAAGTTCACAAGAAATACTAATACTAATAATAAGTTCAAGTCACAGCGCCTCACTCGTACGCCACCTCCATCTAAGCTCTTCTATATTTAGCCAGCCGATGACGCATTCATGAATACAAAAAACACAGATGCTCTGCCACGTGTCACTGTGTTATTACTACCACCCATATTTTATTGCTACTTGACAGAAAAGACAGATCCACGTAAGCCAAGAAACAAAAGACAGAGGAGGAACAACGAGCAAGGTCAAAGCACACATAAAACTGGTGCTGAGACCACGTAACAAAACTGCAGGAAACAGGAAGCAAGAACACTAAAAAGGTGACCAGGTCAATATGGTGAAATACAGGATACAGGAGGGCAGGCAAAACCATGAAAACATGCAAAATAACATCTGGTACAAGAACTGTGATAGTTATGGACAGAACGACAAACCGAACAAATGATTGTAGCAGCAAAAAAATGACTTGAAATTAAAAAAGAAATAAAACAAGAGAGAGCCTTACAAACGGTTGGAACGCCTAAAAAAATGCATCTGAATTCAAATAAGTTCACACCTTAAAATGTCTTAAATCTTGCCTCTGACAAATAGCTCCCATATTGTGAGAGTAAAGGTCAGACTTAAAGTGTCAGACTTAAACTAATAAAAAATTTAAAAAAATGTAAACAATAATAATTCAAATGAAACAGGGAAAACCACTCTGGAAACTAACTGAAACTAAATCTAAAAACATTAAATAAAAAATGAAATGGAGAAAGTACCTTATGTTACCTTGCTCAACTTATTATCACATGACTTAGGTCACCTGAGCCATCTCCATTTGCTGAATGATGACCATGTGATCAAAACCTCTAAAAGCTAATAAATTGACATCTGACCTAATTTTGATATCAGCAGATTACAAAGAAGTGACTTTGGCTGTCTGTTGCCTTATTTCTTCTTCATTTAAGTTAAGTTAATAAGTTAGGGTATAACCATATGTGAGGCTGCTCGGAGGCAGGAGGAGGTCTGTAAGGGTGCGACAAGACGACATGTGAAGCAGCCGACGGGTGTGGATGGAGATGAGGAAGGGGCAGATGGCAGAGGGACTGCGTCATAGGACAAGCAAACACACACACACACACACACACACAAGCGTACACACACTTGATACGTCTTGACATCAGCAGCGGGGTGACTCACAACCAGAGCAGCAACGTATGTGTGCTTTGTCTGGTCAACTGTGGACCAGAAGATTAACTCAATTTTGGACTCGGAAGACGCAGCACGACGGGACGCTCACTGAGAATTCAAGGAATCTGATTGGAGAGTGAGGGTCGTAGGGGGGGTTCGTCAAAGCCTGGGTCATGGATGGGGGGCTCAAAAGGGCCATTCAAACAGCTGGGGGAGGTATTTGGAGGTATCCCGTACTCCCTACCTGGGGAGGCAGCGTCCCCATCCAGCAGGTTGTCGTCCTCGGTGGTGTGGAAGTCCATGATGACGCCGGCTCCATCCAGCAGCTCCTCGTCGCTGCTGGCGCTGGCGATGCTGTTGTAGCTGTTCCTGCAGTAGCCTCTGTGGTAGAGCTGCTCCGACTCCATTTAGCAACGCGCCGGTGCCCTGGATGATAAGGAGGGAGGGAGGGAAGGAGGGGGGAGTGGTGGAGATATACACACCGTGTTTGTGAGGATGCTAGATTATATAGAGTCTACAGGGTGAAGTGAGTCCGTCAGGTGACACACCTGTGCATACTGACTCACAGGTAAACAGACGGACACACACACACACACACACACACACACACACACACACACACACACACACACACACACACACACACACACACACACACACACACACACACACACACACACATACACACATTCAGTTGGACAAAAGTCAACTTTGAACGACACACTACACACCCAGTTACCAGAGCAGTAAACACTAACACTAAAAAACCAAGTTCATTCACTCTATCCATTCATTACATTTCTGTCCTGTTATATCTGCAGAATGAAGCAACTGGTGCTTCCACTGGGAAACCAAATATATGCAAAGGTGTCAACTGCATTTTAAATGTGCAAATAACATAGAGATTAGACAGTCTGACAGAAATATTGTTAACTGCTGGAGCGCACAGTGGTGGAAGATAAAGTAAAACAAAGAGAGAGAGAGAGAGAAGGGATTCAGGTGATCCCTCGGAGTTTAAGACGAATGTGGGCTGTCAGGGTGCTTTACAATGGAGAGAAAGGATGTTTGATGATGATGATGATGATGATGATGATGATGAGCCAAAGTGACCTCATGAGCCTTGTACGTCCATGAAAGCAATGAGGTGGAATGATTTAGAACAGATATTTGGACCACTTGGGCCAAGAGATGCAAGAAGAAGAAAAATGCGTTCGACCTGCGATTGTAGATTTTAAACCGCAGATAAATCTTCTTAACCACATCTGACAAAGTCAATATCTCAGCTATGAAACTGCCACCGTTCTCTCCTTTTTACCTCTTTCTTCCTATTAGCAACACTTTATTTTACACGTCTGTACTTTTCCAAGACAGAACTATGTAATCAGGTGCTAATTGTAGAGAAAATAGACAGTGTTGGGATAAATGAATGGCAAGTTACTATAGTGAAACCTACAGAAGGAGATATGTAAAATATGTCTACAGGCAAGCAAGGAATTCAACAAAGAGAGAGAATAAAGTTTACAACGATAAATACATATTGAAAGAATATTTACTTATCTTAGTAAAACTTCCTAGGAAATTGCAGACCCATAAAATAAAGCGTTCTATTTCTTAAGTATCAAAGGAAATAGTGTGT